ACTACCATCATATACATGAATCATGTAAACTTTTCAAATTCTTTTTTTGTCTTTTTATGGTTTTTGTTTCTTTCGCTTGAATAGTTCTTTTTTTCTTTTTCTTTTTTAATTTCTATCATTATTTTAAAAACTAAAGATATCAAATACATGAATCATCTTGTAACTTTTCAAATTCTTTTTTGACTTTTCTTGTTTTTGATGTTTTCTTTGACTAATCTTATTTTTTTATTTCTCTAAATTAATAAATCTCCTAGAATTCTTCCAGTAACTTTAATAGATTCATCTCTTTGAGTACTTTATGCAAAATGAAAAGTCATATTTATTACTATAAATAGACTTCTTCTCCCTTTTTCTTGTGCAGATTCTTCTTCTTTGTCTCATATTACTCTTTAAAATAACAAACTAACAACCAGTACTAGTACTTTTTCCATAAGGTATGTTTTTATTGTAGTGTACCAATTTAGTATACGCAATATCTAGTACGTACTTTTATTTTTATTCTTTTTTAACGTGCTTGCATGTACCAATGACATTTCTAATAATATGAGTGATTAATAGTTGGAATTTTTTCCCTTGATGCTCTTATTTTTTGTATCTTTCTCTTTTTTTTTGATTTAGTTCTCTATTTATTTAATATTATTATTAACCACATGTTCAATATTATTATTAACCACATGTTCTTAATGCATGAAAGAAAATGAGCAAGAAAATAACACCGGATAATAACTCTGAGAAGGCTAAATGGATGCAGAAACTACAGAACTATTTTTAAATATATGTGTGAAAGAAATTTTAGCAGGAAACCGTCCTAGAACTCACTTCAGTAGATTAGGATGGTCTAATCTGGTGCAAAAGTTTAATGACAAAACCTGAAGAAACTATGATACAGTTAAGTTGAAGAACAAATTGGACAGCCTCAAAGGTACATGGAAAGAATGGGATACTTTAGTTGGAAAAGAGACTGGTTTAGGATGGGATCCCGATAAAAAAATAATTCAAGCGAGTGCAGATTGGTGGGATAGGAAAATAAAGGTACTTGTAATTCTACTACTTAATTTTCACTTAACATAATTTTATTCATTTATTTTGCTTTGGTATTTTAAATTCTCTTGTTCTTCTTCACATTTGTAGGAGAATCCAAATGTAGAGAAATTTAGAGAGAAAGGTTTACAACATCGACAACTGATGGAGTATTGTTTTAAGGATGTTGTTGCAACTGGTGAACATGTGTGGGCATCATCATCTGGAGTGTTACCTGATGGTATATAAGGAAGCAGTTGGTTTCAACTAGAACAACCATTTGAGTTTGGAACTCCTGTAGACAATGAAGAGTTTGTGAATATTGATGGCAAAGAAAAGAATACGGAAAAGGGATTCGAACAAACTAATCCAGAAGAATCGAATGTGGTTGAAAAAGTGCGTGGTAGAGAGAGTCGTGCTGCGAGAAAAAAAAAGCATCAACTGTTATACATGAAAAGGAGAAAAATAAATTCAATACCAGTCTAAGAATTACATCATCAATAGAGAAAATTGCTGAAGCCATACAATCACGCTGTGATGACCCGAAAAGTCATCACTTGTTTTAGAAATAAATTCAGTGTCCCGAGGCTTAAAAACCTCCTTTTTAGCTCACCTCAATTTGCGTGCGCAGTCTAGGCGCGTAGCCGGAAAGCCATTATATGAAAATCTGTGAAAAATAATGAATTTTGCCTTTAAAACGAATTTAGGTTGACTTCAGTCAACATTTTGAGCGAACGGATCCGGATCCGTATTCCGACGATCCCGGGAGGTCCGTAAGAAAATATGGGACTTGGGCGTATGCCCGGAATCGAATTCCGAGGTCCCTAGCCCGAGAAATAAATTTTTAAAGAAAATTATTTTCTGAAAATACATGAGTTTTTTGAAAATGAAATGTGTTTGAAATTTGATGGTATCGGACCCGTATCTTGGTTTCGGAGCCCGGTACAAGTCTGATATGTGATTTAAGTTGAGTCTGTGAAATTTGGTAAGAAACGGACTTGAAATGACGTGAATCGGACCTTATTTGAGAAAATTAGCAAATTTGATATTTTTAAGTGATTTCATGATTTTGATGCTAAATTCATAGTTGTTGATGTTATTTTGGTGATTTGAGTGCACGAGCGAGTCCGTATGATATTTTTGGACTTGCGTGCATGTTTGGTTTGGAGCCCCGAGGGCTCGGGTGAGTTTTGGATAGGCCATGGAGTGAAATTGGACTTAGTAGTTTGCTGGTATGTTGCAGGTCTGCAGGCTTCGCATTTGCGAAGCCTGGCTCGCGAATGCGACCTCGCAAATGCGAGGAATTTATCGCAAATGCGAAGAGACCTGGCATGCCTTGTGTAACACCCCGTAAATTTGAATCAATTGTGGATGCACTAAATGAGTATTAATGTGATGGTTATCAATTGGTTATGATAATAAGCGTACGAGGCATATCATAAGTGATTTGGGGTCCAAGGAAAGACTTAAGTCTAAGCCAAGTTGAAAAATTACATGATAGACTTAAATTCTAAATGAGCACGCACAAGACTATACTTTGGACGAGCATATCTACATTTATATAAGGTATTATGTGATTCACAACCTATCAAATGAAAGATCTTTGAGTTTAGTTTCTAACGCTTCAAACCGTTCGTCATTTGGACATTCCTACAAGAAGTTATGACCAAATTACTAAAGACATACCACCCAGTTATTTTGGCGGACAGCGAAGCGAGCTCGCTTCGCCAAAGTAGACGCGGATTTTTGTCTTCCCTTGAATGCAATGGACAGCGAAGCGAGGACACTTCGCTAGAGTAGAATTGGGGGTTCATTTTTTTCCCTATTTCTTTTGGATGGATTTTGGGGTCTTCTCCCACCCTCTCAAGACCTCCAACCCCTCCCATCTTCAAGGTAAGCAATCTCCATTAACTTGGTGTGAAATTCCATCATTCTTACACTAGTATTGATGAAATCTACTCATAAAACACATAGATCTTCAAGAAATTCCTTCAAGAACTCAAAGGAGGGTTTTGCAAGATTTCTTCCAAAAGGTAATCCTACACCCTTAGACTTACATGTATGAATTTATTATGGGTATATGAGTGTGAATTAAGTATTGGGACTCTTGGTGTGGTGATTAGAAGCCATAAGTTCCTAATATAAATACACAACTATTATAGAGATTGAAAGATGTTTATTTAATGGAACTTTATTGGTTAAGGGTGTTGTTTACCTTATGGGTGATGAAGAATAATATTGATTATAACCCTTTGAGACTTTAGAATTTATCCAAGAGCAAGAGAATCGGTTATTGGGTGTAGAAACACCATTAATAGGGATTATGAAGCTTTATACTCACCAAGTGTTTGATAAAATGCCTAAGTGATCAAAACATGGATATTGTTGCTAATTTGGAATCCCTTTGAATTGTATTGATATAGATTAAAGTTGAAAGGGTTGGCGAATGTTGTATTATGCTCAAGAGAAGGAAGTTAAGGTATGTGAGGCTAAATCTCTATGTTTGGGAATTTTAATGATTCCCCCTACATTACGTTTCTTTTATGACATATCAATTGCCTCAGAAATATAGTTAAGGCCTAGTCCCTTGAATAGTTGTAGAACTTCTGTTCTCTAGTTTCATAACTCGTTCATGACTTTCATTCTGAATGTTGTGAGCTCAGTTCGTATTCAATATAGACTTGGGCTTGATGTCCCTAAGTCTCAGTATAGCTTACTCAGCATGTCATAAGCATTTGAAGTTCAGTGTTCATAACCAGTTCAAGAATACATGTCTCATTCTAGTCCTATACAGTATTCCAGTATTATGTATTGCAGTATGATTCTCAGTTCCTGATTTTAAATCCCTGAATGTTGAACACCTATATTTGGGCCTGAGGTCGAAGCTAATGCTTTATGCATCTTTGGGCCTGAGGCCGCAGTTTATGCTTTATGCATTTTGGACCTGAGGTCGCAGTTATGTATACGTATAATTGGGCCCGAGGCCGCAGTTTGTGCACATATATATATATATATATATATATATTGGGCCTGAGGCCGTAGTTTAATATTCAGATAAACAGGTTGTTCATCATTCAGAAGAGGGAGTATTCATATCCTTACTTCCTTTATTCAGTTCAGTTACCAGTTATCAGTTATCAGTTATTAGTTATCTTTTCAGCTATCAGTTCAGTTATCAGTTATCAATTATCAATTCTCAGTTACCAGCTTAGTTTCAGTTTCAGCATTTATAATTCTTTCTTTCAGTTGCTTTACATACCAGTACAATTCAAATGTACTGACGTCCCTTTTGCCCGGGGCCTGCATCTCACGATGCAGGTAATGATTTACAGGTTGACGATCCAGAGTGCTAGGATTCTCGTACTAGCTATTTGGTGATCCCCAGTTCTTTCGGGGCATCATCATTACTTTACAGTCTTTCAGTGTTTTCAGTACTTCAATAGAGGCTTCATAGACTAGAGTAACAGTTAGACATAGTCTCAGACTTTTCATGTAAAGCCATGTTGGCTACAAATATGTTCCAAAATTGTATTAGTATTTCCGCACTTTGATTTAAATCATCTAGATTTTCAGTATATCAGCATGTGTTAGTTTATCTTCCGTATTCAGTATGTTATGATATCACATGTTGATTCAGCCAGCCTGTTGGTTTGCTTGGTCACATGTAGTCAGGTACCGAGTGTCGTGTTACGTCCAGGCCCAGGTTCGGGGCGTGACACCTTGGGGTCCCAAATGCAAAACTGTCATCGCAAATGCGATGTCGCAAATGCGAAAGGGCCATCGCATTTGCAAAGAGGCCCGGATTGCCCCAGTGTCGCAAATGCGACAGATTGATCGCAAAAGCGATTTCGCTAATGCGAAAGTCACTTCGCAAATGCGATAACAGCAGAGTCTGGGTTCGCAATTGCGAACCCTGGTCGCAATTGCGACATCAGAGACCTGTAAATCCACACTTAGACGCATTTTTAATCACTTTTCGTATCTTCTCAAAACATAAACACTCTAGGGCGCATTTTCAAAGGCAACTTCTTCTCCAAATCGATTGTAAGTCATTTCTAACTAGTTTTCTTCAATCCTTAACATCTTTTCACATGATTTCAATTCAAAATAAATGATTTTCATTGGAGAAATTGGGTGTTTTGGGTAGAACCTAGGTTTTTCAAATTTTGGGGATTTGGACCTCGATTTGAGGTCCGATTTCGAAACAAATTATATATTTGAGTTTGTAAGTGAATGGGTAGTCGGGTTTTGGTTCGAACCTCGGGTTTTGACCATGTGGGCCCAGGGTCGATTTTTGACTTTTTGGGAAAACCTTTAGAAAACTTATTTCCATGCATTAGAATCGATTTTTTAGCATTTATTGATGTAATTAAGTAACTTGTGGCTAGATACGAGCGAATTGGTAGTGGAATCAATAGGTAAAGCTATAATTGAGGCTTGAACTATGTACGAGGCATCGAGGAAGTGTTCGGTCTAACCTTAGCTTGAGGGATTAGGAGTTGTGTCCTATTTGCTATGTGTTATTTATTGAGTACGACGTATAGGCATGGTGACGAGTATCTATACGTTGGTGTCAAGCATGCCCGTGAGTCTTATGTGGTGATTAATGTGACTCCGTTTGTATTGTTCATGTTTAGTGTGGTGATAGCTATTGTTGAGCAAGGTTTGTGAAAAGACTATTGGTAATTGTATATTGAAGAGCGTTGACTCAAGTTGTAAAGTGATTTGTGGAAGTATAATTTGGCAATTGAACCTTATAGAGCATTGGCTCAAATTGTGAACCAAGTTGTGAGGTAAATGTGAAAATGAGAAGAGGATTAGGGTATTGGACGTTGTTGCTTTTAATGTTGTTCCCTTGCCGGGATGTTGTGGTTTGATTTGTTTCCCTTGCCGGGATTTTATTACGATTCATTTATTCCTTGCCTTTATTGTTTGTGTTTGTTGTTTGGCTGAGGAAGAGTGTAAAGCACGAAGGGTGATGCCGTGCATTGTTTTGGTGAGAGAGTGTTAAAGCACGAAGGGTGATGCCGTGTATTATTATTATTGTTATTATTATTTTGTGAGGAAGAGTGTAAAGCACGAAGGGCGATGCCGTGCCGCACGATGTACCATTCCATGCCGATTATATTGATTTTATGGTGACGATGAGAGTAAAAGCACGAAGGGTGATGCCGTGCAGTTTATATTGATTTTATGGTGAGGATGAGAGTAAAAGCACGAAGGGTGATGCCGTGCACTTGTTTGATTTCTGATTCTTGCTGACGATTGAATTTTGTGGTGTTCCATATATTTGCTTGCTGTCCTCCTGTTGTCATTGGATATTTCCTCGCAGCTTGTTTCCCCCTCCCATCCTGGATTATATATATATATTTCTGCTTTTATTTTTCCGATGTACTTTATTTATCTACACAGGTTTATTTGGTTGTCTGGTCCTAGCCTCGTCACTACTTCGCCGAGGTTAGGCTAGGCACTTACCAGCACATGGGGCCGGTTATGCTGATACTACACTGTGCACTCTTTTTTGCAGATCCCAGTGCTACAGATTTTGGTCCGCAGTGAGCTTTTCGTTCCTTGATCATCAGGCGACCCGAGGTAGTCCTGCAGGCGTCCGCAGGCCTTGGTGTCTCCCTCTATCTATTTTCCTGTTTCTTTTATGTAATCCCATAGACAATATTTTGTTATTTCTTTCAGACCCTTATTTGTAGTACTCTTAGACAGTCTGTGAAGTCGTAACACCAAATCTTGGGTAGTTTTGTTATGGAATGGTATTAACAGTACTATTAAACTTGAAATTAATTCTTCCGCTTGTTAAATTATGTTGTTTATTAATTGTTGGTTCTAAGTTGTTAACGAATTTAAAAATGGAAATAAGGCAAATAATTCAGATGATTGGCTTGCCTAGCTTTCACTAGTAGGCGCCATCACGACTCCCGAGGGTGGGAAATCCGGGTCGTGATAAGTTGGTATCAGAGTTCTAGGTTACATAGGTCTCACAATTCACAGACAAGCTTAGTAGAGTCTGAGGGATCGGTACAAAGACGTCTGTATTTATCCCCCAGAGGCTACAGAGTTAGGAAAAACTTTACATCTATTCTTTCCTGTCGTGCGGTTTGGGTTCTCAATGCTAATTGAATTTCTACTCTGTTCTTTCGCAGATGTCGAGAACACACGCTTCCTCATCTGCTGATCAGCAGCCCGAGCCCCCACCAGCAGCTCCCACGAGGGGCAGAGGGCGAGGACGAGGCCGTGCTAGGGGCCGAGGTAGGGGCAGAGCTCAGCCCAGAGCAGCAGCACCAGTGGCGGAGCCTCTGGTTGAGTTTGACAAGGAGGTTCCGGCTCAGACAGCTCCGGCGGGCCCAGCTCAGGTCCCAGAGGGGTTTATTGCTACCCCAGTACTTCAGGATGCTCTGGTCCGTCTAGTGGGCCTCATGGAGAGTGTCAGCCAGGCAGGCTTGCTTCCTGTAGCCCCAGCCGTCTCTCAGGATGGAGGAGGGGCCCAGACTCTTGCTACTCGCACTCCGGAGCAGGTGGCTCCCCAGTTTCAGACTCCAGCAGCTCAGCCAGTTGGAGAAGTTCAGCCGGGTGTGGTAGCCCAGACTGGTGACGGAGCAGTTATGACTGCCGATGCCTTAAGGAGGTTGGATAGGTTCACCAAGCTCTTCACTGCCACTTTCAGCGGTGCATCTTCTGAGGATCCCCAGGATTATCTAGATAGCTGTCACGAGGTTTTCAGGAACATGGGGATAGTGGAGACCAATATGGTCGATTTTGCTACTTTTCGCTTATCTGGATCCGCCAAGACTTGGTGGAGAGATTACTGTTTGGCTAGACCATCCGGATCACTAGCTTTGACTTGAGAGCAATTTACTCAGCTATTCTTGGAGAAGTTTCATCCCGTTACCCAGAGAGAAATCTATCGGAGGCAGTTTGAGCGTCTCCAGCAGGGTTTCATGACTGTTACTCAGTACGAGACCAGGTTTATCGAGTTGGCCCGTCATGCTCTACTTATACTTCCCACTGAGATAGAGAGAGTGAGGAGGTTCATTGAGTGAATTATCCAGCCTATTCGACTTCAAATGGCTAAGGAGACGGGGAGTGAGATTTCTTTCCAGGAGGCGGCAAATGTGGCTAGGAGGGTTGAGATAGTTTTATCACAGGGAGGTGGTCAGGGGTCTGACAAGAGGCCTCGTCATTCAGGCAGTTTCAGTGGCGCCTCGTCGGGAGGCAGGGATTCGTATGGTAGAGGCCATCCTCCTAGGCCTTTTCAGTCAGCACTTCAGGTTTCTCACGGTGCTTCAGGTGGCCGTGGTTCTCACATGCAGTATTCTAATCAGCAGTCCTATAGTGCACCAACAGCTCCTATTAGTGCACCGTCGCTCCAGAGTTTTCGGGGTGGCCATTCAGGTCGTCAGGGTCAGTAGTCTCAGCAGCCGAGGACTTGTTATACTTGTGGTGATACGGGTCAGCAGCTCTCAGCATCCGGGTTCCCGCGCCATGGTTCAGGCACCGAGTGTTCCACAGCCCGCCCAGCCAGCCAGAGGTGGGGGTAGAGGTTCTAGAGGTGGAGGTAGAGGTGCTAGAGGTGGAGCTCAAGCCGCTAGAGGTGGAGGCCAGCCAGCGGCAGGCCGTCCCAGAGATATAGTCCAGGGTAGTGGGGCCCAGCCCCAATTTTATGCTCTTCCAGCCAGGCCGGAGGCTGAGGCTTTCGATGCAGTTATTACAGGTACGGTTCTGGTTTGTAGTAGGGATGCTTCAGTGCTATTTGATCCAGGGTCTACATGCTCTTATGTGTCATCTTATTTTGCGCCGTATCTGGTCATGCCCAGTGATTCTCTGAGTGCTCCTGTTTATGTGTCCACCCCGGTGGGTGATTCTATTGTGGTAGATCGTGTTCATCGTTCTTGCGTGGTTGTGATTGGGGGTCTAGAGACCCGAGTAGACTTATTACTGTTGGACATGGTTGATTTTGATGTCATACTGGGGATGGACTGGTTATCACCTTACCACGCTATCTTGGATTGTCATGCCAAGACTGTGACCTTAGCCTTACCGGGTTTACCTTGTTTAGAGTAGAGAGTGACTCCTGGTCATTCTACTCATAGTGTTATCTCTTATATGAAAGCTCGGCGAATGGTTGAGAAGGGGTGTTTGGCCTATTTGGCATATGTTCGTGATTCTAGTGCCAAGGTTCCTTCTATTGATTCTGTACCCCTTGTTCGTGAGTTTCCTGAGGTATTTCCTTCAGACCTGCCGGGTATGCCACCCGACAGGGATATTGATTTTTGCATTGATTTGGCTCCGGGCACTCAGCCCATTTCTATTCCGCCATATTGTATGGCCCCGCCTGAGTTGAAAGAGTTGAAGGAGCAGTTGCAAGACTTGCTTGATAAGGGCTTCATTAGGCCCAGTGTCTTGCCAAGGGGTGCGCCGGTGTTGTTTGTCAAGAAGAAGGACGGATCGATGAGAATGTGTATAGATTACCGGCAATTGAACAAGGTCACAATCAACAATAAGTACCCATTGCCGAGGATTGATGATTTGTTCGACCAGCTTCAGGGTACCCAAGTGTTTTCTAAGATCGACTTGACATCTGGCTACCATCAGTTGAGGATTAGGGCGTCCGATGTCCCTAAGACAGCTTTCCGCACTCGGTACGGGCATTATGAATTCTTGGTGATGCCGTTCGGGTTGACTAATGCCCCAGCAGCTTTCATGGATTTGATGAACCGAGTGTTTAGGCCTTACTTGGATTCGTTCGTGATAGTCTTCATTGACGATATTTTGATTTATTCCCGCAGCCGGGAGGAGCATGAGCAACATTTGAGAGTTGTTCTTCAGACTCTGAGAGATAGTCAACTGTATGCTAAGTTTTCGAAGTGTGAGTTCTAGTTGAGTTCAGTTGCTTTCTTGGGTCATGTGGTTTCAGCAGAGGGTATTCAGGTAGATCCAGAGAAGATAGAGGCAGTCAAGAACTGGCCTTGACCCACATCAGCTACAGAGATCCGGAGTTTCTTGGGTTTGGCAGGCTATTATCATTGGTTCGTGGAGGGGTTTTCATCTATTGCAGCCCCGATGACCGGTTGACCCAGAAGGATGCCCAGTTTAGGTGGTCGGATGAGTGCGAGGCGAGCTTCCAGAAGCTCAAGACAGCTTTGACTATGGCGCCAGTGTTGGTTTTGCCCACAGGTTCAGGCCCATATACAGTTTATTGTGATGCATCTCGTGTTGGGCTAGGTGCGGTGTTGATGTTGAATGGCAAGGTCATTCCTTATGCTTCGCGTCAGTTGAATATTCATGAGAAGAACTATCCAGTCCATGATTTGGAGTTAGTAGCCATTGTTCACGCGCTGAAAATTTGAAGGCATTATCTGTATGGTGTGGCATGTGAGGTGTTCATGGACCACAAGAGTTTGTAATACTTGTTCAAGCAGAAGGAGCTAAATTTGAGGCAGAGAAGGTGGTTGGAGTTGTTAAAAGACTATGATGTTACTATCTTATATCATCCGGGAAAGGCCAATGTGGTGGCCGATGCCCTGAGTAGGAAGTCAGCCAGTATGGGCAGTCTTGCGTATATTCCGGTATGTGAGAGACCGCTTGCTTTGGATGTCCAGGCTTTGACCAATCAGTTCGTGAGGTTGGATGTTTCTGAGCCCAGCCGTATATTAGCTTGCACAGTTGCTCGCTCTTCTTTATTTGAGCGTATCCGAGATCGGCAGTATGATGATCCTCATTTATGTGTCCTCAAAGACACGGTGCAGCACGGAGATGCCAAGCAGATTACATTAGGAGATGACGGAGTTTTGAGGATGCAGGGTCGTATTTGTGTGCCTAATGTGGATGGACTTCGGGAGTTGATTCTAGAGTTGGCCCATAGTTCCCGGTACTCTATTCATCCGGGCGCCGCCAAGATGTATCAGGATTTGCGGCAGCATTATTGGTGGAGGAGAATGAAGAAGGGCATTGTTACGTATGTGGCTCGGTGTTTGAATTGTCAGCAGGTTAAGTACGAGCATCAGAGGCTTGGTGGTCTGTTCCAGAAGATTGAGATTCCTAAGTGGAAGTGGGAGCGAATCACTATGGACTTCGTTGTTCGGCTTCCACGGACTCAGAAGAAGTCCGATGCAGTGTGGGTTATTGTTGATAGGCTGACCAAGTCAGCACATTTCATTCCTGTGGCAGTCTCCTATTCTTCCGAGAAGTTAGCTGAGATCTACATCCGGGAGATTGTTCGTCTTCTTGGTGTGCCCGTGTCTATCATCTCGGACCGAGGTTCGCAGTTTACCTCACATTTCTGGAAAGCAGTTCAGAGAGTTGGGCACACAGGTTGAGTTAAGCACAATATTTCATCCTCAGACGGACAGGCAGTCCGAGCGGACTATTCAGATTTTGGAGGATATGCTTCGAGCTTGTGTTATTGACTTTGGAGGCTCGTGGGATCAGTTCTTGCCTTTAGCAGAGTTTGCCCACAACAACAGCTACCAGTCGAGTATTCAGATGGCTCCCTATGAGGCTTTGTATGGTAGGCGGTCTCGGTCGCCGGTTGGATGGTTTGAGCCGGGAGAGGCTCGGTTGTTG